CCACATGTCCTGGAAGGCAGACAGGGATGCAAGAATAGAGCCTCCCATCCACACTGATAGTTTCCTTTCTGGGGGAGCTGTAACCTGCACAGGTGTATTGGCAGGTACCATATTTGCTATATCTTTAACTAGCCGCTTGTCTAAACCGGGGAAAGAGGTTGATCCCCCAGCAAGGATAATATTGGAGAAAAACGAATTCCTCAGATCTGTATCACATTTCATTATGCTGCTGAAACACAACTTATCAATGCCGGGGGTATCAAGTTTCATAAGATGTGGAGAGAAGAGGGCCTCTGGACAATGAAAGAGCTCATCATGGAGTTTGATCATCTTCCCATCAGGCAGGTGGTAAACTTTCTCTATAGACTCAGGATTCTTGGCCATTTCCTCTTCATAGTTCATTACCACATAACAAGAGGTTTCCTTAATGTCTGTGACAATCTTTCTGTCTGCAGCACTAAGCAGCATGATGCCATGGTCCTTCAACAGCATCATGAGGTAGTTGGTGAGGTCAAGGCCTGCCAGATCTAGCTGCTGGACACCATGAGGCAGACAGTAACCCTCGAAGATGGGCACACACTGGGTAACCCCAGCACCTGAATTCAGCACAAAGCCGGTTGTGAAGCCAGCGGCAAAGAGAGCCAGCACCCCTTGGATGCACATATAGAAGGCAGGAACCTGCAGATGCTCAAAAAATACTTCAGTGATCTGTTGCCGGTTCACCAGTGGGTTCAGTGCTGGCTCGGTAATCAAGACTGGGCCATCAGAGGCCTTTAGCTTCAGGTTATGATCATAGATATGCTTCCACATGATCTCCATGTCTCCCCAGGAAGTAACCAGACCACGCTCCACTGGGTAGCTGTAGGAAAAGCAGTAAGATAAATGGCAACGCTTTTTTTTTTTCTTGCCTTTTTTTTTTTTTTTAAACAATAACAGCTTTTAATTTCCCCAGCATCTATTCTCTTCAAGCTTGGATTAATCCCCATATTTATTACCAGTATCCCTTTGTGGGCAGTGACTGCCAGTCAGAAAAGGTAACTGCCAGCAAAAGTTAGCATAGCTACTACCTTACTCTGCAATTTTTGTTGCTTTCCATTTGTCCCCACCCCCTTTAGAAGACAATCTTTTTTTAAAAAATTGGGAAATCTTTACATAATATAGTACAGTTTTAATATCAATTAACTGAGGAAACTCACATGATGAGGGTACTATGAATTAAGTGATATTCTTAATGAACTTGTAGTTTATGAACGATAACTTTATTTATACACCCTTGGAGATTTGTGGCCTGCGCTAGCGGGGTGAGACTTTCCTGTTCCCCACTTCCTTATCCTCGCACCCTTGCGCCCCTCATCTGGACTTCCCCTGCCCCCATGTGGGTCCTGCCTGCTGGGAGACGGCCATACCTGATGGACAGTGAGTTTCTCCTTTCTTGCGCCTCGTCGCCCACACACAGTTCCGGCGCGTCCTTGGCCACCCAGTTCTGGCCTTTGGCTCGGCCGATAATGTTCCGGTAGACAAACTGGGGTTCCCGCGAGCCAGCCAGGCCCGCCTTGATCATTCCCGAGCCGTTGTCGATCACCACTGGTAGCTGGTAGTAGCTCATGCCGCCGCCGCCTCCCGTCGCCTCCCGTCGCCTGGCCACACCGGCCGCCCTGCCTGCGGGCTGTGCCAGGAGGGCGGAAAGTGCGGTCTGCGGACTCTGGGCAGCGTTAACAGGCCCATGGCCTGGAACGTCGCGTCACAGAGGCCCTGGCCTAGCCCCACGAGGCCTGCGCCTGCAAATGCGGGCAGGGGGCAGGGAGAGGCCCGGCCCATTGACTCTCCAAAGTACTGCCCACCGATTGCATCTCACAGGGGGTGGGTCACTTGCCACCCCCTGGAATCCAGGGATACCAATATCAGGAAAACCGAACTTTCTTCCCTAACGATGCAAATCTAACCCTTTACAAGTGGCTTTCTCTAATACCTCGATGACCCATAAAAACAATTTTCTTTTCCAAAGCCTTTAAATTCTGCTTAATATGTATCTGTCTAGGGGCCTGCGGAAAGCGCTGGAACGTGCCCTTGAAACTAGCAAAAGGTGGAGAGATTTGACAGGTGAAAGTTGTCAGAGAAGAAGCTCGGTTTCAGAAGCTCTTCTGAAACCCTCCTCAACTTCTGAAAAGAAAAAGGAAAGAATGCTAGGATTTAACCTGGGTTTTATACAGATGAACATTGGGGAAGGGAAGGAAAAATGAAATAAGATAAAGACAGAGAGGGAGGCAAACCTTAAGACACTCTTAAATATAGGAAACAAACTGAGGGATGCTAGAAAAGAGAGGGTGGGGGATGGGGTTAATTGGGTGATGGGCATTAAGGAGAGCACTTCATGTAATAAGCACTGCATGTTATATGCAACAGATGAATCGCTAAACTCTACCCCTGAAACTAATACTACAATATATGTGAACTAACTTGAATTTAAATAAAATCTTGAAAGAAAAGAAAGTGGGTTTTATATACTTTTATTATTGTTCCTATATAATGGGCAAATACTTTGTTGTGTCTCTTTCCTTCAGTTTCTAAGCAAAATGTACTCAAAACCAAAAAGGTAGAATCTTGCTTTTTTTTTTTTTTGATTGATTGATTGTTAACAATCTCACCCAGTTATTCCTCGTGTGATATGGAAGGTCATTCTCATTTCCTAAAAATATTTTATTTTTAGGCATAAGGATGTGTCTGCCTCTTTGCAAGAAAAGCGATATTCCTTAGGTCATGCGAAGTTCAGGTTTAGAATAATTTAAGTACACTGCGTGCCAAAAAGAGCATCTTGATGTCTGATTTTTTTACCCCCTTAATTCTACACACCGTGTAGAGAATTTTAAAAGTAGGTAAGTTCGAACCTCTGGTTGGTCTACGGAAGCAGAGGAGGAAATTCAGAAGCTATTTACCTGTCTCTCCACCAGAGACTGAAAGGGTCACGTTACTAAATAACAGCGGTGGCATTTAGTGCTGCAAACAGCGGCAAGACCGGGAACGCCAATGAAGGCCGGCACTTGCCCCGGGCTTCTCAGCAATTTGTGCGGGGAAAGAATGTCAAATAAAACATTTCTTTCCCACAGAAGAAAGTGTACCCAAAGGAAGTGCAAGGAACCAGTGCCTGGTTTCTGCAGCGCTCGGTAGGAGCCTCTGGGGAAAAAAATCACAGGCAAATTCCAACTTTCGAAATAGTTTCAGCACTACAAAATTAGAAGTATAGTCATTTTTCCTTTTCTGTTTGTTGTTTTTGTTTTCCTGTTAAAAGCTGCTTTAATATTACTTTACATGCCCAGGAATTTCACAATACTACAACCACATCAAGGCTATTCTGAACCACAGACATCAGCTAGGTTTCCGTAGTGTAGTGGTTATCACGTTCGCCTAACACGCGAAAGGTCCCCGGTTCGAAACCGGGCGGAAACAGTTGCTGTTCTTTTTCTAGGTATTGGATTTCCTCAAACAGGGCCCTGTGATTTTCACTAATTTAGTTTTTTAAAGGACAACCTAAATACAAAATTGTGGAAGAGAGGGGATTTGAACTTTCACCTTGGTTATTTTATTCAGCAAATGTTTTTACTGACAGCTTGCCACGCAGAAATGGTTCAAAAAACAATTCAACTCCCAACCTACTGCTGAAAAAGAATGTAATGTACAACCTAAGACAGGAGCTCAAACACGTGTTAAAAACTTCTAACCCTGTTGCCTCCTTAGCACTCTTTGTATTACAAGTCATTTAGTTTTCCATTAGTTTTCCCCTTCAGACTGCAAATTCCCCTAAACCCCGAGACCATATTTTACTCTTATTTTACACATACTTGGTGCAATGCTTAACACTTGGTAGAGACTCATAAATATTTCTGAATGAACTATTGAAAAGGGTTCCGACAAAATATAAAAGTGGAATCAGAAAGATGTAATCAAGAACCCGACTCAACCTTTTCCCTTATAAACGTAAGGGTAGTGGCTTTATTCACAAATATGATTTTCACGGACCAAAGAAGTTAAAGAGCAAACAGAATGTCGTTGGAAAAAATCTCAGAAGAAACGAGTAAATTCCAGTTGACTGTCCTTTAAAATAAAGTCATGAGTAAATATCCTAAAGTCCTGACACAACTTTTAACAAGAATAAATGGGAAGTTTTGGTTTTCGGAGATTTATGATGTCCGCAAGTACTAGGGAAAAAGTCACCGTAACATATAAACAGGACCTATCTTACTGTTTCTGCGCCTTTTGTATGTTACGCAGATAACTGGCTTCCTTTTCCTTCACTGTACACAATCTGAATTCGATATAAATCATAATATTAAAATTTTTCTGGTCCCGACGCAGAACCTTTTCCGGTGTAAAGCCCACCTTCCTGCAATGTTGCGCGTGCTCAGGGTATGTACCTTACTGCTTTGCTCGGCTTTGCTGCATCTCCGACTTTTAACAGGTAAGGATATCCTGGAAACTAGGCTACAGTCGGCTGATACAAACAAAACCCAGGGGGGTACCAAAAGCTTTCGGGCACGTAAACTGAAAAGGGGTGATCTGTCTCAGCTCGAAAATCTCCCATGGCCAGGAGCCTAAGTACACAAGCTGTTTGCACTCGCGGGGTCCCGAAGAAGGGGAGGATGATGGGAGAAGACGAGAAACTACAAGCCCCAGCATGCAGTGCACAATCTGGCTCCTGGAAAGAGGGCCTCCGTGCGGCGCTGCCCGACCGCGGGCCGTAGGCGAGATGCTGACTGTCGGCCGACCACAATGTTCGTAATGAGGAAGACAAGTGGGGCGCTGTGAATGAGCCCTTAAGTCCGGTATTCATGACGTTTGCGGTTTCGCGGGGGACCCTAGTATGCTGAGGAGTGGAGTTTCTGTGGGCGAGACTCGTCAGTCCTCGCCGGTGTCCGACCTCCACAGTCCCAGAGCCTCCACCGTTTCCGTGGGACGCCCGGGCCGGATATGATGTCGCCGTAGAGGAAGAAGGAAGAGGCGGAGCGGGCGCGGTGACGTCCTTCCAAGATGGCGGAGAGAGCGTGAAGAAACTGTTCCCCCTTGGATTGCTCTAGGTGAGTTCTTTTTTCACCCCCCAGCTTGCCAGTCCCGCTCTCTCCAGACGCTGGGCCATTGGAGGGTAGGCTTCGTGGAGTTCGAATTCAGGTCGGGGCGAAGGTATTAACGTGAAACGATTGGGGAGGCAGCCCGGTGTTGGCCTTGGCCACAGCCTCTGGTGTGGGAACTCGAGGTAGTGGGAGCTTGGCGAAGGGCAGTGCGGCAGAAACTCAGAGACACCGGCTTTGGTTGTCACTCTCCGTTGCGGCCGGGAATGGAGAAGTGGGAAGAAAGGGGGTGTGGCCTCCTCCGGGCGAGTGACGGAACCTTGACAACTCTTGGCTCTGCTCTTTCTCCGCCCCCTGGGCACCCGCCTCGCGTTTTGAAGCAACGGTGCACCACGGAAACTTAACAGGTTTCGGTGATTTGAGAACAGTTTTAAAGAACTCGTACCGTGTTTTTTTGCCATCTGTTCAAAGGAGGTCATTTCTTAGTGATTTGTTAAATTTTTTCCCCAGCATGTGCATGCGTACTGAGCTTGAAAGTCTGAAGGTTCAACTGCTGCAAAAACGTGAAATTTTGCGGTGTTTTTTTTTTTTTCAGTTTGTGCAAGTGTTTTCATTCATTGCCATTTATTTATGTGTCCAAAGGATTGTGTTAATTGTTCAAGATGTAACAAAGATATACAGGAACTTACCCTTCAGCATTTTTAACTATTCTGTTTGATAAGAATTTTCGGGGCGGGGGATAAATGAGGACTGACTTTGTTTTTGTCCGTGTTCTGTCCCATGTCCCTTCTCCCCTTACCAATTGCTTGGGTGAAACTTTCGATGAAAACTTAGGGTTACTGACTTACTATTTCTTTTTGTCTTTTAGAACAAGGGTAAAATTCCATTCTGATATCAAAATGCAGTATTCGCACCACTGTGAGCACCTTTTAGAGAGACTGAACAAACAACGGGAAGCAGGTTTTCTTTGTGACTGCACCGTAGTGATTGGGGAATTCCAGTTTAAAGCTCATAGGAATGTGCTTGCCTCATTTAGTGAGTATTTTGGTGCGATCTACAGAAGCACTTCCGAGAACAATGTCTTCCTTGATCAGAGTCAGGTGAAGGCTGATGGATTTCAGAAACTGTTGGAGTTTATATACACAGGAACTTTAAATCTTGACAGGTAAAGTACACATTTTATTTTCACTTATAAAAGCTGGTCAGCAGTCTGTAGAGTTAAAGTATATTTGTATTTTTTCCCCTTAACTTGGAGTCTTCATATGTGCATATGTGTATAATGCTCCTGTTGTTTTTAATAAAGAAGTCCATATTACTGATTGGGGATGAACAACTACATTTCTTAAGCACAAAAAGCACAGGTGTTAATAAGATTAAAGCCTTGTTTCTGACACATTTGATTTATCTACTTAAAGCCTATGATTTCAGTTATGAAAACTTAGGGAACATACACAACGAATTCTAAATGAATTCTAGTTTCTTTGGTCTTTATGTACCTCTTTTCTTCTCTCTTCCTTACTCTATCCCTTACTTCTTAAGGTGCTTGAGGTAAGGGAGTGTAGATGAAGAAAGAAGGATGCTTCTCTGTGTTCATTTAATAGTACTCCCATTTCTAACCATAGATAGCAATATGCAGGACCTCTTCCTGATCTTGTTTCAGGAAAATAATTTCCTTGGAGTGTAAATGGCAGTGACTCCTGTTATCTCTGTAAAGCTATCAGTACTAATGCTTAAATCAGATCCAAGGTGCTAGAAGTTTTTTCTGAAATGCTTAATGCTCTCACTGCACTAACAAGAAGTAGGTTCTGAGGAATTTGATAATGCAGGCACTGTGTCTCCCCCATGCATAGTGAACTATATAATTGGTTTAATACTAATGCATTTATCAGTTGTGGGGAGAAAGGTGGAGGTGAAAGAGAAGCCAATCAGATTACTCCTGTTTTCTTTCCTCCATCTCTTAATGATGAAAGTGTGAACATGACTAGATCATAATCTGACATAAAAAGATTATGGGCTTTAGGATTAGATCCAGCCTGTCACTGTGTCTCTGAGCAAGATGCAACCTCTGAGGGCCTCAGTTTCCCCATCTGTAAAAATGAGATGGTAATAACTACCTTGGTGTTACTGTGAAGATCAAAGATCTACTCAAAGGCCCTCCTCCTGATGAACATTAGTTTCATTTATTTTCTCTTTTCTACTGTCCTCTCTCCCTTTAACTCCACAATTTATGGAGAAAAATTAGGAAAGAAACCAAAAGTGAAATTCTGCCACCCACTGATAATCTTTGTTAACATTTTGATAAATATTCTTTCATTCTTTTCCAGATGATCTCTCTCTATATATATGCACATACACATTAAGCAGAATCCTTCTCTCTGTTTTACACTGCAGCTTATTGTGGAACTATACTTCTTTAAAAAGCTAGAATCAGGATGTTCCTTAATCCTTTTGAAAAGGAAACATTCATACTATTTGGAATTATTTTTAAATTTTGGTGTAATGAAATCTTTGAGTTAGTTCTGTATGAGTTGATTAAAGGAACAGACCAGTGTCATAGGTTAACCTACATGACAAATTACTTAAATTTACTGAGGAGTTGACTCTACAGGTGCCTTTATCTAAATATTTAGAATATGTACTATAAAATAACCACAAAACTAGTGAATTTTGGTTGATCTTCAATTTAGTGGTTTCCCTTTCTCAATTAACTTTTCCAGAACAATCTTGAATTGATTTGAACACATTGAAGAGCAGCTTACTTTGAGCCTTCATGCAAAGAACCAGTGTGAAAAAGAGCCAGATTTTTGCTCAATCTTTTTTGGTACATATCTTCTTTCCTGGGAACTAGTTGTTTGAGCCCAGCCACAAATGTGAGATGGCTTACATCAAAAGTAGAAAGTCTGTACAATTTAGTGATTAAATTTAGTGAAAGAAAACAAAATAATAAAGAATTAAGTGGACTCATGAGCCAGATTTCCTTGGTCAAATCTTAGTTCTAACACACTGTGATCTTGTACAAGTTACTTTCTTTGGACCTCTGAGCCTTCATTTGGATGTAAAATGGGATTATTACAGATTGCATAGATATGTCCTAAGGATTAAATGAACTATTCTTGTAAAGCGTTTAGCCATATACCTGGCAATATGTAATTAAATGACTTTCAGTGACTGTTCAAAAGATGAAAGCAAGTTTGCAAGCACTGTAACTTCATGCTTGTAAACAAAAGCAGTTATTGATGTAAACAAATGCTGATTGATTCTCTTAACTGTAACTGAGATTATAGGCTGTCTATGAAATAGATGAATAATTTGTACGAAATACTGTATCAGTACTAAACAATTAATGTGCCACTCCGTGCTAGTTTGTTTGGTCTTAAAGGCTACCAGACCTTGTTATGTGTTTGGTGGTTCATTTTTATGGAGCACTAAGCACAATTATTATAATTGGAGGCCTAAGTATAATAAGTGATAAATTTGGTTTCATTCTAGTGGTATCTCTCATTTATTGTAATTTAGTAATAGACTATGTAACAAATTAATAAAAATGCTTAAGGAAAAACATAACATTTTTAGAAAGTGATAATGCTACTGTATATATGGCGAAAAATATTTTGTATAAAAGATGAACAAGATTGTGTTTATATTTGGGGCATTTGTGCTATATCTTTGCAAATAGAGAATTAACTTCATTACAAAGATTGTTCGTTATATATTCCAAAATTATAACCAAGGGATGTAAGAAATCTTTAATGTTTTCTTATCTAAGGGAAAGACTCCATTTGCAAATAGATTATACTCCAAAAGTTTATTTATAGTATATTTAGGAACTTTAGGTATATTTTCCCAGAAAATAAAATGTTCCCTAAACTTGTGATTAGGTTTCCAAACCGACCTATAAACTTACTTAAATCATTAATGAGCTGAAAAATGATTATGTATATGATGAAAGGCAGTTTTTTAAAAGCCAGTGTAATGTTAAATTAAAAAAGAAGAAACAAGTGGCACTTGGAATAAAGAAGTTTTCAGTTTTCATTAGATGATGAGAAAATGGATAGAGATCTGTAGATACTGTAGTATACTTTCAAAGACCCGAGTGGTTCATGACACTAGTTAATTTTTAATTTCATTTCAAATTTTACTCGTTTTTAAAGGGAAAAAAAGATGTATTAATAGCATTATATTTATATTATCAGCTATGACTAAAACCCTTTTCTGGCTTATATGTATAATGAAGAGGGAAAAGGGAAAATATTTTTTTTTCTGAAGAGTTAAATATCATTTGGGGAAAATGGCAAGTAGTAAGGATACTTGAAGGGTGTGTTTGTGTGTGTGTATGTATATCTGTCCTCCAATAATTAAAAGAGTCATATTTTTGAATTAATACTGACTCAACTCTCAGATTTTTTTAAGTAAAGATTTTGTTTATTTATTTGAGAGAACACAGAGGAAGAGGGAGAAACAGGCTCCCTGCTGAGCGGGGAGCCAGATGTGGTGGTCACTCCCAGGGCCCCGGAATCATGACCTGAGCTGAAGGCAGATGCTTAACCAGCTGAGCCACCCAGGCGCCCCTCAGCTCTCAGATTTTATAGCTAAGAAAATTGAAGTGCCTAAAGGTGCTGACTTACCCTGATTAATTGACATTGTAATGCCAGAGCCAATGCTAGAGTAATCAAACAATTTTTCACTACATTATAAACTTCTGAAGGGCAGGGACTATTTGATATTTCTTAATATCCCTCTTAGTGTACCACACGTGGTAGATGCTCAGTAAATACTGACTGGAATGTTGAACAGGATGAACTTAAGTCTTTTTATATAATTCTAATAATGACAGACTCTCCAACTAACATGAGTTGAGTCACACACACACACACACACACACACACACACACACACGGGAAGGTTGTTAGAGCTTAGTGCATTCTAAATCCTTGTTCCTTCCAAGTGTGATCAATAAACCAGCCGCATTGGCATCACCAGCAAGTGTGTTAGAAATACAGACACTTAGGTCCCATCACAGACCTCCCCATAGAATCTGAATCTACATTTAACAAAATACCTGGGTGACTTGCATGCATGGGAAAGTTTGAGAAGCACAGTTAAAGTCCCTCATAGGGGAGCAGAGAAAGATAATAGGAAATAATTTTTTAGACTCGCTGTTGCCAGTCCAGAAAAGGTGGTTATATCTGAATAGGCCTCAGGGTAATGGGAGGAGGCAGTAAGTTGCCAACAGCTACTTTTGTGTTACAAGTATTTTTTAAAACACACAGTAATTTTAACATTTTCTTTTTCCATAGTGGTACATAATGTAGTTTGTAACCATTTTTTTTTTCATCTTTTCAAGTTCTGGAAAACTGGAGATTTTTGCCTACGCGTTATTCTGAATGAATGAATGAATTTTCGTAAATTTGTTCTTCTAGTTATGCCTTTTTCATCATTCTGCTTCATTAGGTTTTTAAAAGACATTGAAATATATGTGCAGCTCTGTTTCACAAATAGTTTTTCTTTGTTCAGAATATTGTCATTTAGCCTTGTTTCCTTACAGTTGGAATGTTAAAGAAATTCATCAGGCTGCTGACTATCTCAAAGTGGAAGAGGTGGTCACTAAATGTAAAATAAAGATGGAAGATTTTGCTTTTATTGCTAATCCCTCTTCTACAGAGATATCTAGTATTACTGGAAACATTGAATTGAATCAACAGACTTGTCTCCTTACTCTACGAGATTATAACAGTCGGGAAAAATCAGAAGTGTCTACAGATTTAGTTCAGGCAAATCCTAAACAAGGGGCTTTAGCAAAGAAGTCATCTCAAACTAAAAAGAAGAAGAAGGCCTTCAACTCCCAGAAAACAGGACAAAATAAAACAGTGCAATATCCCAGTGACATTTTAGAGAATGCATCTGTTGAATTATTTTTAGATGCAAATAAATTATCCACACCTGTAATAGAACAGGTTGCACAAAGAAATGATAATTCAGAACTCGAATTGACGTCAGTTGTGGAAAATACTTTTCCAGCACAAGATATTGTGCAAACTGTTACAGTGAAACGGAAACGTGGAAAATCACAACCAAACTGTGCTCTGAAAGAACACTCTATGTCTAATATAGCCAGTGTCAAGAATTCTTATGAGCTGGAGAGCTCTGGGGAAGAGCTGGATCAGAGGTATTCCAAGGCCAAGCCAATGTGTAACACATGTGGGAAAGTGTTTTCAGAAGCCAGCAGCTTGAGAAGGCATATGAGAATACATAAAGGAGTTAAACCTTATGTCTGCCACTTGTGTGGAAAGGCATTTACCCAGTGTAACCAGCTGAAAACGCATGTAAGAACTCATACAGGTAAGACTGGTTTGTGGGAGATACAATTGCTTTTGTACTGTGCTGAAACAATATTTTTGCACAGAACATATTAATATGCAGTGTTGACTATTTGTGACCAACATTTGGTATATACTTGCATTCACAAAGTATTTAGCATGTTAGATTGTTGAAAATTTCTTTTTAATTGTGACCAAGTATTTAATGGTTATTTGTTTTATTGCTGCTGGTAACTCTGAAGTCCTAATGTATGAGGTCTTTGTACCATTTTCCCTCATAGTTAAAATAAACACAAACTTCTAGCTTGCTAAGTATTTAACAGAGACAAAGATTAAGAGAACTGATAAAAAGTAGTTACAACTCAGGACAATTCTCAGACTTTGCCAACACATCTCACCTTCTTCCTAGACTTAACTTCTGAACATGTTTCTTAGAATTACACACACATTCATTCCTCAGCGTCTACGTTTGCCTTTCTTGGTACACTTAGATTTGTACATTTTAAGATTGTAATTTTAAGATGCAGTGTGTATTTCTCTCATTGATCACCTTTCACTATTATGAATTGAGAAACACTGATTGCTTTTAATTCTACCAATGTTTTCAATAGACAATCCGGAAAAAATCCTATTTGTTTTTTACTTCTAGCAGTTAACATTTTCTGAATACTGAAAATAGTACTGTTATGAACTCTTTTGAAAGCTTATGTGGCTCAAGCAACTAAAACAGAGTATCTCCTTTTAAATAGAAATTTTATTTGCTTGTTCTTTTAGGTGAGAAGCCATACAAATGTGAATTGTGTGATAAAGGATTTGCTCAGAAATGCCAGCTGGTCTTCCATAGTCGTATGCATCATGGTGAGGAAAAACCCTATAAATGTGATGTATGCAATTTACAATTTGCAACTTCTAGCAATCTCAAGATTCATGCAAGGTAAAAAACAAAAAAATGAGTTGTTTGATCTTTGAGTCTGTCATTCACCATAGTCTTTTGAATAGACTACTGTATTAGCACTCAGGACAGTAGAGTTCTAATTGTGGCTCACCGTTAAATTTTCTTAACATAGTCAAGAAACCAGAAGGAAGCCAAGGTGACTGGAGAGGGATAAATAAGGGCGAGACATAAGGTCAGAATGGTGATAGGGCATCTAGATGGTGTAAGGTTTTATAGGCCATTATAAAGCTTTTACACTTGAGATTGAGAAGTGGGTGATGTATCTTGCTTGCATTTTAAGGGGATGACGCTGGCGGCAATATTAGAAAAAGAATGTAAGATTACAAGAATGGAAGCAAAGTTACCAGTTAGGAAGCTATAGATAAAACTCAAGTGAGAGTGATAGCGATTCAGGCCAAAGTGGTAACAGTGGAAGAGATAAGTAGTCAGATTCTGGACATATTTTTAAAGGTAGCACAACAGAATTTGCTGCAGATTGGATGTGGGGTATGAAAGAAGGAAAGAAGAGTGGTATCCAAAGATGATTCTGAGGTTTATAGCCTTGAGCACCTGAAAAGATGGAATTACTGTTAATGGAAATGGAGAAGATTTGTGGATAGAGCAGTTAAAGAGGGAGTAGAGATCTGAACATGTTAAATTTGAGGTGACTGTTAGACATCTGAAGGAGATGTACATTGGTTATGTAAGTCTGTAGTTCAGGTTTGAGCTGAAGACAAAAATTTGGGAGTCTTTAGCATATGGATAGTATTTAAGACTGTAACAGTGAATGAGGTCACCAGGAGAATGAATGTGGATAGAAAAGAGATCAAAGGACTGAGTCAGGAGGCCCTTAGAGGTGGCTAGGAAGGAGCATCTAGTCTAGGAGGAAAACCGGGAGTACACTGCCCTGGTATCCAAGTGAAGGAAATTATTCCAGAAGGGAGCAATCAGCTGTGTCAAATTCTGATGATGGGAAGGTGAAGACTGAGAATTGACTATTGAATTTAGAGTGAGAGGTCAGCAGTGCTCTTGACAAAAGCAATGTTAGCAGAGGCTAGTAGAGAAGAGATTAGTAGAGAAGAAATGAAAGTAGAACAGTTGGAGACTCAAATTTTTGATAAAGGGGGGCAGAGAAATGGAGGAGCAAGAGAGATCAAGGGTCTTTTTTTTTTAAAGATTGAAGACATCAGTATATTTGTATGCTGCGATACAATGGAATGGGAAAAATGAATGGTGGAGGAAAGTGCAGGGGTGAAATCATTGAGTAGACATGGGGGATAGGATAGTATCTTCATTATGCAAATGGGAGTAGCTGGATTCAGATGAACTGTCACCCTCATGTTAAGAGTTAACAGAAGAACAGCAAATACATAGGTGCAGATGCCTATAGGTAGAGAGTTGGGATGGTGGAAATTTTCTTCTGATTGCTTAAATTTTTCTCAGTAAAAGAGGAAGCAAGGACATCAGCTAAGGGTGAGGATGGGTGAGGAGGTGCTGAAGGTTTAAGGAAAGAGTTTTGAAGAGTGAATGAATGGACAAGTGAAAATAATTGCCTGGGGTATTAGGGGCACACTTGACAACCATATGAAGATGATGGCACAGTTTTTTTTTTAACTGATCTTAGAACAGATGTTTTGATAACCAAAACATATACATTGAAACTGTTGATTTTAAATACATATTTTTGGTCTGTTAAGATGAAATAAAATACTGCATGAAAATTATATGAAAAATGCTTATTATATAGATTGGACCCATATTGTTTTACTTACCAGCATATAACTTTATATTTATTTATGAATAGGAAGCATAGTGGAGAGAAGCCATATGTCTGTGATAGGTGTGGACAGAGATTTGCTCAAGCCAGCACTTTGACCTATCATGTTCGTAGGCATACTGGAGAAAAGCCTTATGTGTGTGATACTTGTGGGAAGGCATTTGCTGTCTCTAGTTCTCTTATCACTCATTCTCGAAAACATACAGGTAAGAATTTGACAGAGATGTTTAAAATAAGGAAAAGTTGTAAATAAAAGAAAGAAAAAGGGAAATTGAGCCCTTAAAGAAAATAGATTATAGACTCTGTCTTGTATATCTGTTGTGTTTGTGCTTGTTGAGTTTGTGATTTTCACATAAATATTAGCTGTAAAAGCAAATTTATTTTCGAGAGTACTAACGGTGGTTGGAATTTTTTATTATGTAACTTATGTACATTAACAGAGAGTTTTGACAGTATATAAACTTGAGTTGAGACATACTTTATGACCTTAGAAAAACTCCTTAGCCTCTTGTTTTACTTTCCTTGGATAAAACTGTAGAGTGAAATTTCGGGGTGGGGGTGGGTTTAGGTAGAACCTTGATTTTTATGACTTCTTAGGATTTTTCCTATGCAGACATTCTAAGATTTGCAAATTAAACAGATACTTCAAATGCAGAGTATCAGTTTTGAAGCAAATTATACTCAAAGATTTTCAGTTTTGATAGGGTACCTTTTTAAAACAGATCTTTCCTAAATAATCTTATTCCTCTTAATAATATAGTAGATAGCAAGAATTAAAGTAATGGATTGATGAAGTTTTAGTCAGATGTTTGTAATCATATAAAAATTGAACTTCTTGCCCAACTCTAGTCTACTGGAAGGATATTGGCAGAAATAAAGTTTTATTATATGAAAAGCATCAGGTCTCATGAACAGTGTAAGATAATTACTAATATTCATCTAAGTAGGATCACACTGAAGATACCTCTAAAGTACAATATATAAGGAGGTTTTAATTTAAATAATATTTTAGAACAGGTTACTTTAGATTATTGTAATTGATAAATATTATATTGGTATAGTACACCACTTCGCTATCTTTTATTTTCCATCTAGGTGAAAAACCATACATATGTGGTATTTGTGGGAAAAGTTTTATTTCCTCAGGAGAGCTCAACAAACACTTTCGATCCCATACAGGTCTGTGTTTAGGGAGAACGTATTATTTTTGGTTCTCTCTAATTTCTTTTTATGTAAACCTTGACTTTTAAACCATTATGGACTCTATGGTATCTAGTCGTACTCTACCTATAGCAGTATTTTCATGTATGAATATCAATTTTTTACTTTTTTTTTTTAGTTATTTGGAGTAGTAGTAATTAAATTTGGTCTAGAATTGTATAGATTTTCTAATATGCCAGATAATAATAGTTTTTAGATGATTTGGATTAAATTGCACAGGTGTATCAAGAAATGAAAAGGAATAGATGGATAATATATTTTCTTATCAAAGAGTGTTCAGTAAGCAAGTTTTCAGAATGAATTTTATTTAGTATTGACATGTTTCTTGTAATAGTATTGTGTAGTATGAAGAAAAATGGAACAAATAAAGGAAAATGCCACTTTGAAAATGTACTGTTGTGACTTTTTCATTTTTAAAATTATTCCTCATAATTCTTATCTAGAATAGTGTGAGCACCTAGTAGACATTTAATAAACGTCTGTATTCTCATGCTCCTTTGTTTATAAAGTATTGAACAGTTCTTATTTCAAAGGAATTATAATTCTGTAGCATTTTATTCTGTCACTATCTTTAAAGGATTTTCTAATTTGTAAGCTGCCAGAAAGCAGAAACCATAATTACACATTTTTTTCCCTTAGCTATTCCTCTTAGGGTCTGGCAGATAACTGGCACTAATGAAATGTCTAAGAGAAGTAAAAGAGTAAGTTAAATTTCTGTTATGAAAATGCTCCATTTTCCCAGAAATGGGGATGCCTTGTATAAAGTAAAGGAGTGCCTAATATGTATAGAAGTTTTCATTTCACTGTATTATAACCAAGTGATTAAAAAGGTCATTTGAAACTAAATTTAAACAGTATAGTAATGTTTGCACTGTGTTCATAGACATTGATATTTTTGTCTTAGCAGCTTCTAAAATAGTTTAAACTTTTTAACTTGCTTTTCAGGAGAAAGGCCATTTATCTGCGAATTATGTGGAAATTCTTACACAGATATTAAAAATTTAAAGAAGCACAAAACAAAAGTCCATTCCGGTAAATGTTTGTGTTTTATAAAAATTTGGTGCTCTCATATTGGTGCTATTCCTAAAATGTTGAGATGCACATTATAACAGTTTAAATTAGATATATATTTTTGAAAACTAGATATACACATATTAGGAATGTAGCTTTATAATTTGTAGGTAAGTTCACTAAAAATTTCTTTCCATATTGACCTTCTAATAAACAGTACTTGAAATATTTCCTCTTTTAAAAACTTGATTTATGAAGTTTCAAGAATGAAAGAATATGAAAAAAAAATATGTATCACTATTCTCCATAGTAGAGTCTGGGGATTACTATAGCTATGTGGAGAAAAGGGCATCATGAACCCTAATCCAGAAACATATAAGAGGGAATATAATAGAAACATATAAATAGGGAAATAGGTAGCCCCAAATTGTTACATAGAAATGGAAAGCCAGACTACAAAATTTTGAATCTGTTGCTTAAAATGAATCCTTGAAAAAGTTTCACTGTGTTTGTCATGATTAGAAACAAAATACTAGGCTTCTTCAGTGTGTAGAGATGTTAACAAGTCTGATAGTGAACAGAAACATAATAAGGATTAAGTCAGTAACTTCTGAAAACTGCAGTGTTGTTAATTCAACAAACATTAAATGCCTCTATCTCCAAAGTACAGATAACTGCAAGATATATGAAGTTGAACAAGGCACATTCTTAGTCCTCAAAGAATTTACAGTCTAATGTGGGAGACCAGAAAGCTGAATAACTGTGATTACAAGAGAAAATGTAGGGTATAATAGAGACAAAAGTGCTAAAGAAGAGATAAAGTCCTTCTGAAGTAAGTCCTGGAAAGGCTTAATTCTAGGAAACTTGAAGGAGAGTTCAAAAGGTGGAGATAGGAAAAGGAGCATTGTCCCAGGCAGAGAGAATATTGTAAAGGGAGTCATTGGTTATATTCTTGGCTGGTTGAACTGAAGAGTAGTTGGGCAAGAACAGAATTATAATTTTATGAAAGTTAATAGGCAGTCTTGTCTAATGAAGACAGGGAGATTGAAATCATGTAAATCCTTTGAGTGACAGGAGCATGGTAAACCTCATGGGAAATTTGAAGGCAAAAGTGTATGATAGTGTGATAATCGCTCCCTAAGTAGAGCAGAATTTCTCACTTCTGAAAATACACATAAGTGCCATACCTCTGAACTTGAACTCAGAGAATAGTATGACTTACTCATTAATACGTTCAGTGAACAAATTTATTATGTATATAGCACTGTTAAGTACTTTGAAGGAGTTAGAAAAGCATAACTTGACATTTGCCCTTAAGGAATTTAGTCTGGTTGAGAATTCAGAGCATACTGAAGTAGAATGTTCGGTAGCAATAAGTACGATAGATGTCACAAGGTGATACATGAAAAATTGACAAGTGAGTGATAAAATAGATAACAGCTCACCCTAGTCTAGAACAGTTAAGTCCATTTTAAGTTCAAGTTGGTGCTTGAACCTAGGCTTGAGGCCCGTATTGGATTTGAATAGATAATGAGGGTAAATCAGCATAAGAGAAACAGCGTGAGTAAAAGGTGTGGAGGTTGGAATTCAAGTTCTGGGAATGGTAAGCAGATTTAGTGTAAGGGTTTTTGTTTTGTTTTGAAAGGTAGCATAAATTTGTTTTCCTTCTATTTCAGGTGCAGATAAAAATCTAGATTCTAGTATAGAGGAGCATCCCTTGAGTGAACAAGATTCCATACAAAAAAGTCCGTTATCAGAAACATTGGATGTGAAACCTTCTGATATGACTTTACCACTGTCTCTTCCACTTGGAACTGAGGACCACCACATCCTTCTGCCTGTCACAGATAATCAGTCTCCTACATCAGATACATTGTTGAGATCAACTGTGAATGGGTATTCAGAACCACAGTTGATTTTTTTACAGCAATTATACTGACTTTGTGAGGAATATGGAATTTCTAAGACGTCTCTGGTAGTAAACATAAACATCTCTGGTAAGGTGCATATATTCATATTAAATTACCATTCGAGTTGTAACCATTATTTTTTTCATTCACTGAAGTAAACACCTGATGCTGCATCGTAACTGCAATGCTTGTTTTGATTTTTGGCTTTTATGTCTAGATTATAAACACAACATGTAAGAAGTGAATTATACTGTAGTAGCACTATTTTGGATGGATAAGTTATATTTTCTTTTAGAGCTGCCTTAATTCATTTTTATTTTGCATTTTAAATTGCCTGTCATTTATTGAAGTGGAATCTTTCCATTTATATGAGTCAGTTTTGACCTGTGGGATTTTTTTACTTTTTCCCCTCAAAATTTAAGCATACTCCATGATAGTATCAGGCCAAGAGTGTTGCTGTTACTAAGCCCCATAGATCAATATATAAACTATGGGGGGAAAGTAAATTTTCATATTTCTACTTAAGAGAATTTAGGTACTGAATAAGAATTATGCTATTTAGTATATTCCATTGGAGGTAACTTTTCTAATGAATTTAAAAAGTGTTTTTCTTAAAAGCTAGAAAACTATGTACACTTTTGTTCTTTTAGAATTCAGTATTCTGGAGAAAAGCAAGGGTCAGTACTTCCGACTTAACTGAGTTATCTGAGACTACATTTGCAAAACGAGTTTTAAATAAATCATTTAATGTTTTTAACTTGTTAAAAGACAGTTTCAAAATGTGATTCAGGTTATGTTTTAATAGGTTTCTACATTACTGGTGATGAGGAAAATATACTGAGTTTTGAAAATTTTTGATAAGCTTCCCTTATACCTGCTATTCTCTTTTTAAAATACTAAGTTCTAAAAAGAATTTTTTAAATATAAACTTAATGCATACTCTAAATCTCTTGGCCTCTGAATTGACACACTATAATTACATAAAGAATTAAGAAACTAGCTTCAATTATAAGTGAACATTTGAGTTATAAAACCAGTTTATTAACTATTTTATGTTTAAGTTTTCTATAAGTTTTGAGTTTTAAAATTTTATAAATTAAACCACAACATTTGGCTGTTGTCATAGTTTCACAGTAGTCTGTTTCCTTCCTGCTGAATGTAGAAAATTGAGTATCCTTCTGATACTTACTACCAGTCTTCCCCATCCCACTTTTCCCACATAATTGATTTATTTTGCTGCCTAATCTTTGGACATTAAATTATCAGTTCCACAGAGTCAATTTCTGTACTGCTGATCAAACACCATGGTGACATTTCTTATTTCTGTCATGCATTAGCTTTGCCTTACTTGGTTTCTGGCTTTAAAGTACACCTATAATGAAGTTAATGTCAGGGTTTTTTTGGTATTGATTTCTTTAATTGTAGTTTCTCTGGTGTCCTAGTCAGAGGAACCAACTAAAAGAGGATGTAGTAAAACTTAATTCTTGTAGAGATTGTCACTATTTCCCAACACACTCAGCATTTTCATAATGGATTGCCTGCCACCAGTGGGACTGACTTAACTGAATAGATTTGAACTGTTGCCTTTGTATAATAGACATCAAGCTTAGTATTTAATTATTTATCTAAGAAATCTAATTATGTATGTGTATTAATATACTGGTTTAAATACAATTTACAAAGTTATAAAATGTTCAACTAATCTATTCTGGCTTAAATTCAATAGGAATTTATTGGAATGTGAAGAAATTAAAGAAAATTAAAAGACTCAGCCTCTTTAAGAAGTCTGCTGAAATGGAGAGGTTATATTTAATTCACATCTTCATTAATCCAAGCATCTAATGAATAAAATTTCAAAAACTGCTACAGTGATGTCAAAATTTTATGAGAGCAGTAGTTAACCAAATTTCCACTAACGTGATGGTAATTAGCATTTTGCATAGATTAGTCTTCAGATTTATTATTTTTAATATTATTGGATTGGAATGACTAAGGTTGATTTACTGTGCTTTTTTTCTTCATCACATTATCTGCTTCATAGCTAAAATTATTTTATTTTAAATTGATGGCTTGATGCTCTTCTGGCGTGACATGTAAGAAGTCTTGAAGGCTGAGGTTCCTGTCTTGTCACTCTCATAATGCTATACTCTTCTTTATCATAATGCAGATATATTTCAGTTGTATCTGGTATCGTCCTAACAGTCGTAATTAGCATTTTTATTAAGCCTATTTTTAAATATATTTGTTACAATGCAGTTTGCGGAAAACTCTATTCTTAATTAAATATGACTACATTTTTGAAAGTCTGTTTAGGATGTTGAAGATCTTACTGAGAGATTATTTTCTAAAATAATTTTGTATGTATTAGATTATTCCTACTGTATTGTTAGATTGTAGACTTTTTAAAAAGAAACCATAGATTATATATAAATGATTTTTTGCTGTTTTTAAATGGTATTTGTTTTATGTTTAATTTCATAGGATGATTTTGATAGACAAATTTTAGAAAAAATTTTTTTAAAGAAAAGGTTCTGTCAGTTCTCTTGTAAAAGTAGTTTATCACTTCTGTGTGTTTCAATTCTGCAGAAATTGTACAAACGAGAGTAGTTGAAATGTACATGTATAAAGACAATATACATGTTCTTGTTTTTTAAAATATCCTAGAATAATAGTTCTAACATTTGATGCATATCAGAAACATTTAAAAAATAACACTATCCAAGCCCCACCCCACCTTAGGCCTATTGAATCATACAATCTCTGGGACATACATGCTAGAAAAGCTCCACAGGTGGGTTTAATGTAACCAGATGTTGAGAACTAATATCCTCAATGTTTCTTGGTGTTCTTTCGGGAAGCATTTAAAATTGAAGCTCTTGATATAACTTCCATCTTATACTCAGATTTTGAGTCTTTAGAATTTCCCTAGAAATACCACCTAGGAATTTCTACATTTTTACTTACTATTTATGAACAGTATGGAGATTTAGTTATTGGAGCATTAATTTCTTGAGACAGTGGTATGGTTACTCTTTTATTCTCTGCAACCCCTGCCCCCATTCATTCAAGAGAGATTTGGTATATTCGCTTAAGGAATTTGGTAATTATCAGGTAGACATAATAATGATCCAGAAATAGGGTATTTAATTTCAAGAAGAATATACTCACATCATGGATGTGAACAGATACTTGGATTAAAATGTCTGGCCAGTATTTCAAATGCTGGAAAATTATTGAAATCAGGATATATAAACCTAACAAAGATAAGATAAATGCCACCCTTAAGTCAAATGGGAAAGACAAACCTGAATATAATGGCACTAAAGACAATGTCAAGTGCTATGGCGGAAGGAAAGGAAGGAAATACTGAGCAATGAGTTAAATGGACAGAAAAAGGGCCATCGTTCCTCTGGATAGACAAACCAGAAGAGATGGATGATGCTGATGGGAAGGAATGTGCACACAGCCAACTGAAATAGGCCAAATGAGAAAGTATGAAACAGGGAGGAGATAGGAGTCAAAGATATGTCCAGCACTATGCCTTCATGCATCTTACATGGAATAGTACTCTGTCCTTAACCTGTGCTGAAGGAGTAGGATTGGATACCCAGGTTTTTAACCCCTAATCTTACACACCCAAGCACAGTTGACTGCTGAAGGTCAGGGATTAGAGGATTAGACAGCCACATTTATAACACATGATGCCATACTTATGTCCACAGTTTTACTGAACACCTTACCAGAGAGAAACAATTCTTAGTTCTGACCGAGCTAGTTAGATTCTCAAGAATTTGAGCTCTGAAATTCAGAGACTGTTAGGTTTTGGAATACGTGTAAATGAAAAGATCATTTAGAACTGGCCCAGAGTGAGTGAAGCAAGCCAAAATCTAAAAGAAATTATGAACAAGCAGAGAAAGCTGATCTGTAGAGTGAAGCAAAGGAATAAAATAGGTTTACAGAACCAAGCCACTGACTACCTGTGAGAGAGGTGTGGCCTTGGTGTCTGGCTTTGCAGTCCCATTCTTGAGGTGGCACAGCTCTATGCTTCATTTCCTTGTCCCTGGGTGCCAGTGACTTTGTCCTGTTATATCCATACAGTAAATCCCCCTTCTCTTACACAGGCTCGAATCTGTTTCTTTTCCTTGCAGTTAGCCCCTACTTAGACACCTAAGTTTTGATCCTTAATGATTGAGAAGATGGTGATGCCATTAACTGTGATAGGGAAGATACGGAAGAGGTTTATGGAAGAGAAGACTTTATTTTAGATGCACTGAATTTGGTTGGTGGTACAACAGCCATGTGAAAATGTCTAGCAGTCTTTGGAAATGGAGCCCAAAATCCAGGAGAGGTTAAAGCGAGAGATACAGATCTTGTAGCATAAGGCTAATAATTATTGCAATAGAAATGATTAAGGCAGCCCTGGGAGATGGTATAGAACAAAAGCTAAGAAAATCTTTGGGGAAATACATTTAAAGAATGAGCAATGGGCGCCTGGGTGGCTCAGTTGGTTAAGTGACTGCCTTCGACTCAGGTCATGATCCTGGAGTCCCGGGATCGAGTCCTATATCGGGCTCCCTGCTCGGCGGGGAGTCTGCTTCTCCCTCTGACCCTCTTCCCTCTCGTGCTCGCTCTCATTCTCTCTCTCTCAAATAAATAAATAATCTTTAAAAAAAAAGTATATTAAAAAAAAAAATGAGCAAAAGATAGTAGTGCCTGGGTGGCTCATTTAAGCACCTGACTCTTGATCTCAGTTCAGGCCTTGGTCTCAGGGTCGTGAGTTCAAGCCCCGCTTTGGCTTCACACCCAGTGTAGTATTTAATTTCAAGAAGAATATACTCTTAAAAAATGAGCAAAAGATGGAGTTAAAAAGTGATAACAGAAAGAACACCAGGGTAGTGCAAGTTTTATGAAGACAGAAGTGGTTTTGTACTAGTACAGGGAAATTAAATAGGGTGCAAATCAAAGACAACTTTGGGTTGGATAATTGGAGCATGATGATACTTTGAGAAGGCAGTAATACTAATAGTGGGAGTAGAAGTTAGGTGGATAGGGTTCAAGTAGTTAAGACATTGAATAGTACTATTTAGCTGAAAAGCAATGTGGAGCAGGATTATTTTTTGTGAAATACGTAAAAAATATAAAGCATGTCATTACTTTTTTCAAATCTGAAACACTGTAAAATATTGAGCATAGTATGATTTGCAACACTGAATCAGAGGCTGTATCTGAGCCTGATCTTAAAGGATGGTAAGAGGAAAATGGAAGGAAACTTTATATGGTTGCACATTTACTCATTACAGTTCAGATGTGCAGAGGAAGTGGAGCTTTCTGATGGAACTTGCATTTCCTTCCTCTTGAGCTCCCACCCCATGGGAAGTCAGGAAATAATTAACTTTTAGTCCCAGCCAGTTTAAACCTTAGTCTGATATAAAGGAGATACAATTTATAAGATTTTGAGGTAATGCTTAAACTTTGGGGAAAATGCTCTTATTTCTGTCCTTTGTCTTCTCTTTAAACTGGTGTCCAGATATATGGAGGGGACTTAACATGATACAGTGTTATCAGGGAGGACAGCGGCTTCATTTCTTCCATTCTCTGGGCTCTGATGCAGTAGGCCACAGCCTGTAAAACATGTGATCAGGTTTTTCCTAGCTTGGTCAGAGCCCAGTAGTTCTTGACTGCATTGGCCTCACCTTAGTTCTAACAAATGTGGAGAACTCTTGACACTTCTGCAGCTCTGTCTCAAGCAGGCCAGTGTAGATCAGGATGCAGGTTTAACCTGTCCCACCGTCCTGCAGGCTCAAAGTAAGCCTTTTTGCTTCCCATTCATCAACTTGCTTCCCACTCAGCTACCTTCTGAGTGTCCCCTTGGGAGAATATAGAAACTTGTGGGTCCCCTCCATACCACACAAGAACAGAGATTAACCTAGACAAATCTCATTACCAAGGTTTACTTTCGTGTGACTGTGCCCTACCTAGCCTGATAAGCCAACCTCTTTCCAGAATCCTGTAAACTCCTCTACTACCCAGCATATTACAGATACTTAAATAAAAGATGGACTGTTGCCACATTAAACATGAATGAATCACATTAATGTTGTACTAAAGAAGTCAGAAACAGTGTATACTATAAGATTCAGTTCATATAAAGTTCAAAAACAGGCAAAACTACTCTTTAGTGTTAGAAGGCAGGAGAGTGGTTGCCTATTGGAAGAAGGTTGGAGGAGCTTCTGGGAAGCCTGTGGCATTTACTGTCTTTAGGTCATGGCTGACAAGGGTGGGTTAGCTTTGTGATAACTCATCTACCTGTT